AAGACTGTTTTACAGACTATTGTATCATTGAAAGGCTGTGTAGCCCCCCTGAGAAACATAAGTGGTATCTCTGCTTAAGTCTACAAGCTCTTAGAAAAATTCCTATGTGTCTCAGAGCTTCGGTGAGTTGCCCACCTTGTTTATAATGCCAGGTATTGTCTTCAAAGAGGAGGGATCGTTGTAAAACAAGGAGCAGAAGCAAGAGACTCTGTGTTCTCTTTTTATTCAAAGATCATTTTATTGGGGACTCTTACAACTCTTGTTACAATCCATACATTGCTTGCATCAGGCGAATTTATACATATGCTGCCTTAATTATTTTCTAGACATTTACTCTCTATTGAGCCCTTGGTATCAGCTCCTCTTCTCCGCCCCCACTCCCCTCCCATAGCTACTCAATAGATTATAAATTGTTATTATTTTCGTATCTCACATCAACCGCTGTCTCCCTCCCCCCATGTTTTCTGTTGTTCTTCTCTCTGGAGAGGGGTGCATGGTTATGTGTCGATCATCATGATTGGCTCCCCCTTTCTTCCTTCCTCTCCCCCTCTTCCCCCTACCCTTCTGGTATCGCTATTCCCACTCCTGTTCCTGGATTCTGTGTGTCGGGACCACCCATCTCTTATTTGTATCTGTGTTCCAGTCAAGAGACTTTGTTTTCAAAGACAAGTGGTCTACGGCTGCCTGTCTATGTACAGATTATCGGTACATCTATAAAACAGAGAAGCAGGTCCACTTTACAGGATTACATATATTTCTTAAAGAAGACTCCTCTTTTCCTCTTAAGGTTTATAAAAATAGATCTGCTCTGTGAAGCCCTCTTGTGCATTCCCCTGGGACTGCCCATTTCAAGCCAGCTCTTTTATAGATAAAAATGGAGATCCCCCCAATCTCTTCCAGCCAGTAAAGCCCAGATTTGCTTTTATGTAGCCTTTTGCTCCCCTAACAGTTTTTTTCCCCCCTGACCAAACCTCCATGCCAAACTCTTCTATGACTCTTCCCACCTCACCCCAAAATGAAAACACGGTATATTAATAATATCAATCTTTTGTGGATGGTTCAAAGATGACATAAAATAATTGAAGATGCCTGGTGGAAAGGAAACATTCCGATTGTAGCAGGCATCATGTATCATATAAAAATGGTAAATTGTCAGAATAGTGCAAATGCTGAATTTGGGTTGAAAAATAAAATGCCTACTTCATATGGACATTTCAATTGCTAAATCAATGTTTTATCGTTCACCTTTGATTTTCTCATTCTTACATCCAAATATTACTTTTGCCGTTGTTACCACTTTGGAATTTTCTGGTTTTCTAGTCAGGGAAATGCTAGTTTATTCAACCAGCGCTTGTTAAAAATGCATAATGCAGAGAACAGTTAACATCGCGTTTGTAGAAAATATCTGCTGGCATTGCACAGCTAATGCCCTGGTGGTAATTATAATAAGAGGAGCTCTTAAGTCTGAACGAAATATTGAATGTATTCACCTGTTAGTATGACAGACCAGGTCCTGATCAAACCCCTTCTGATGACAAGTCAAAATGCTAGATAAGCAATTTTTAAAACACCCTTTTCAGTGTGCTCATGAACTGTTAGGATATTCAGAGACTGAAAATGAAATAGAACAGAAACCCAGAGATATGTAGCAAGAGCACTGAAAGCAGCTCTCACTTTGAGCATCTTTTCCAAACTTGAGTTTCCGGGGATTTTTTTTTTTTTTAATGGAGCGCAGGGCACAAAAAGCCAAGTCCAGGGTCTGCTTAAGGTGAAGAGTGTAACAGGATATCGTCATGCATAAAGCTAGGACATCAAAGGGTCAGGCCCATGGTCTGTGGGTGCACTAGAAATCCGTGAACTAGAAGCAGGAAAATAACCGGTTTCAAACCTGGACCCTGAGTAGTGGAATGCCCTTGTAAATTCATCATTATGAACTAGCCTTTATAAGCCTGAATTCACAGTATCAGTATTAGGAAGGACTTGTGATTAGAGTTTCCTTTAAAGTTATTCAGAGATTCAGAGCTCGCCAAGTGTTGATTGGAATCACATGACTACTTTGAGAACTACTTTCAATTCCACTAGATAAAGCGCCAAGAAACACAAGCTCATCCTGTAAAAGGATGACATCTCAAAACCACATAAGAAACAAATTATCCTGAAGACGAATCTTCAGAAATAATGACTGGTAGAGACTTTACATAATGAAATTATGAGCCATAAAATAGAAACTAGTGATATTTCATATATGATCCATCTTTAAGTAAAGTTCTAAAGGGTAAGCAGTTAAGTGATTGGCTACTAGTTGAAAGGTTCGCAGTTCGGGTCCACCCAGAGTTGCCTTGGAAGAAAGAGGCCTAGTGATTGACTTGTAATGAAGTGGTCGCTGAAGAGGCTTTGGTGGTATAGTGGTGAGCACAGCTGTCGTCCTCTAAGCGGCCACTGAAACCCCTGCTGAGCACAGTTCCCCTCCCACCCAGCTGACCAGCCCTTCAGTGGGTCAGGAGAAAAGGAGCCATGAATAGGTGGCACACAGGCAAGCAAAACTGTTCAGTGTGATATTTCAGTGGCAGATACAGGGCTGTACGCAGAACTTGACAGCGTAGAGAGGGGGCCCTGGGGTAAACGGTGGGCATTACTTAACATTAATGCATCCATACTGGTTAATAAATGATAGAAAATGTACTATACCAATGCCAGATGTTAGTAACCAGGGAAGCTCCGGAGGGTGTCGAGAAAGGGCATGTGGACTCTCTGTACTTTCAAAGGTTTGTGGTTTTTTTGGCGGGGAGAGAGGAGTAGGGTGTGTGTGAGAGAACTGTTCTAAAATATAAAATCCTAATTTTTTTTATTGATAAAGCAGAGGAGATTTTTTTTTAAGTTTGATGCAATTGGACAGACATGGTACCCACAACAGCAAACTCTGCAGAACACACATTCTTCCTGTGTACAAATGTACCCATGACACTTTTAGCAAAGGCATACTTTGTTTTCAAAACATTTCCTGTAATGCAGACAACATTTTCTGGGAACAATGCAATTAGAAGTCAATAACAAAAGGACTATCAAAGCCCTGTGCTTGGGGATTAAGAAACATACTTCAAAGTGAATCATAAGTAAACAAATCATCATAGTAGTTTCCAAATACTGAGGTAAATGAAAATGCCACATATCTAAGCTGAGGAGATGGAGCAAACACAATACTTAGGGGGACATTTAGATACTCTTAAGCTTATCAATTAAATAAAAGGTAAAATGAGTTAAACCCAAACCAAACTCGCTGATTCGTAGTGACCCCTGTGGGTTTCTGAGAGGGCAACTGTTCACAGCAGAGCTCCTGCTGGTTTCAAACTGCTGACCATGCGCTTTGCAGCCCAAAGCAGAACCACTCCACTAATGAGTCAAGCCTACCCCCCCAAAAAAAATTTTTTTAAAGAAGCTATACAAAATAAACCCAAAGAAAATAGAGGGAAGAGCGTAATTAAAATAAAGAGCAGAAATCAATGGAATTTAAAATGATTCAGCAACTCTGAATGAATCTCAGGAACATATGTTGAATTCCTAAGCAAGCAAACTGCCAAAGAATCCATAGCACAGTATTCCATTTACATAGATATTTAGAAACATGTACAGTTAAGCAACATTATTTAAGCATAATATACATGCAATATACAAATATATGCAAGGTGTTCCAGGTAGCATTTACTTCTAAGATGGAAGGGAATGACAGGAGGTTGGGGAAGGAGCGAAGGAAGAAGTGAACTAATATATATATATAATTTGTGACCTTTTTATTCATGCCTCTACCCCTCTTTTTTTCTTCTGTTTTTAAAAACAAGGTCATTGCTGACATGGAGGCCCAAGTTCACAAGCTGAGAGAAGAGCTGATTAATGTGAACTCCCAGCGGAAACAGCAGCTTGTTGAACTTGGTCTTCTTCGAGAAGAGGAAAAGCAAAGGGCTGCAAGGGACCACGAGACTGCGGTCAACAAGCTGAAGGCTGAGTCGGAGAAGATGAAGATAGAACTGAAGAAAACCCATGCTGCTGAGACAGAGATGACACTGGAGAAGGTCAGGCGTCCAATTGAAATTTTATACAGATGAACCCCAGGTTAAAATCCATCGCCAGCACCCTAATATTTAGTCTCTTAAAGATGGTGGCATTAGCGTTGTTCTTCTAATGTATAAACTCTTCAGATGAGCAATTTGAGTAGCTTGCCTGATGTTGAAACACCCCTAGAGTAATTGAGGGAATTTCCCAAATGGTCTTTGAACTTTCTTAGATGGAATTGTATGGAGTGTTCCTTTTTGTATTCATGAAACATTTAGCACACACACACAAACATGCTAACCCATAGTGACCTCATAGGGCAGGGTAGAACTACCCCTGTGGGTTTCCAAGACTGTAACTCTTCATGGAAAGTAGAAAGCCCCATCTTTCTTCCAACATTGGGCACCTTGTGAGAAAATGATCTCCTATTATCAGGCATTATACTAATTAGAAATTGTTGGGCTGCGGCTCTAACTTTCCCTTTGTGAACACCAGATTTAAGATGTTTGCTGAGTTGTCTAATCATCATGTTTTTTTTAGACTTTAGAGCTCTTCTGACAGTAGCAAAAAAGATGACCTGTTTAACAGGTTGACTTTTTTTTCTTTTTGATGAAGTGATCAAAGTTTTCTTTGGGATTGCATATCTTAAAATAGATGTCAATATAATGTTGACACGATAGAGGTTATTCAATACTCAATCTCAATTATTCTTTCTTGGTGGTCTGAAAAAGTGCAAGTATTTTACTGCAGTAGTAAATGTGGATTGCTTTAAGTCATAGAGTGCCCTGGTGGCATAGTGGTTACAAGATGGCCTGAGCTCTGCAGGGTGAACGGTTAGAAACAACCAGTTTCTCTGCAGGAGAAATTTGAGGCTCACTACTCCCAAAGAGAATTACAGTCCCTGAAACTCACAGGGGCAGTTCTGTAGGCCGGTCATGAGTTGGAATTGACTTGATGGCAGGGAGGTTGGTTTGGTACAAGTCGTAGCAACTGTAAATTCCCCCTGAGTTCCTTAAGAACTATCTATATCCAGGGTCAAGAAAGCTGAAAAAGTGACTTAGCAAGTGGCTATATTTAAGCTTTTTACTTCTTCCTTTTTATCATTTAATTAGTTTTGAGCCTTTTTTGGGAGTATACCAGGCTACTCTACGCACTGCAAATTGATTTCACATAGACCCTGGTCTTTCACGGTGGATTTGCTCAATGCAATATATCATTTATTTCTTCGCTTGCTGCTTTCACGAGTGTTTACATTGGATCCAAGTAGAAAGAAACCCGCACAACTTCAGTCTTCCTCTGTTTATCATGATGTCATGTCTTGTCCAGTAGTGAGGATTTTGTTTTCTTCTTGTTGTTAAGGTATCATCCATACGGAAGGCTGTAGTCTTGGATCTTCATCAGAAAGCGCTTCAGATCCTCTTCCCTCTCAGCAGACGAGGTTGTGTCATCTGCATATCGCAGGTTGATCATCTCTCTTCTTAGTACAGAATCACAGTAGCATGGTCAGAGTCAGGCTACGCCATAGTCAGGTGGCTGCTAGGCTGCTGGAAGACCGGAATGCTAAGCAGAGGTGTGAGGGTAGAGCGGTGAGCCAGAAGATGGAACACTGCTGACTTGAATTGGGAACAGAAGTGACACAAGAAGATGCAGATGGGGTTTTAGCACAGTAATTTTAGGAGACATGCCCAACTACTGCTGAGGAAGTTGACCAATGACCAGAATGCAAAGACTTGTTGGTACAAAAAAAAAGAATTAGAGCATTAAGTCTGTTTCATGTTGATCAGTGTTTGTTACTGCATTCGTAAATGGAGTTTAGCATTTAGCATCTCCAAATGCTGTGAAGAGCTGGGCAGTGAGTGCGTGCCCTCATAGCAGTCCCTGGGACATACTCACTTTCAGAAGCGCCCGGGCTGTGCCTGGCACCGTACCACAAAGCAGGCATTGACGCAATGTTTTCTGAGTGAATGAAAGAAGAAGAGCCACTGAGAAATTCAGTGTAGCCAAAGTATTGGGGGAGGATTCCCCCAAATTGGATGACACCCAATCATAAATACATCTATGGGACAAACTACATCTTTATATTTAACTCTTCATGTTCTTTTGGCCCTAATTTTTCCATATAAGGTAATTCTTTTTTCCAGGCATGGTTATATTTTTTTTTCTGCACAAATTAGTGAACCTGGGAACTCATACTGTAAGTGTAGCCTATTGTATCATGATACAAGGTGCTTGAATTCTTGTCCCTGTCACTTATAAAAAGTTCACTGCTTTTTACCTTCAAATTAATCTGAACAGTGAAATATTGCTAACAGAACTCCAGTCAGAATGGAGGGGTCAGCTGTTAATTTTCTGTTTCTAAGTATAAAATCGACATTGAAAGAGGCAAGGAAAATAATACCAGAATAATAACTGATCTACATGTGAATCTCATGCAGCCTGGGGAGTTTCAGTAGCACTTGCAATGTCAAGGTTATGAGAATTCCGGAGTCCACAATCCTACCTGAATTCCTGTCAGCAGCCATTTAGACCCAGATGACATCTCCAATGGCTTCAAGTTAAGAGAAACATGAAATACGTCCACAAGGTCAAAATGCTTGAAATAGTGAAGCCCAGAGAGGAAATGATTGACATTTGCAAAGCGAAAACTTCTTTTCTAGCCTTTATAAAAAAGTCGCTTCAAACCAAAATGAGACAAAGTCCATAAAATGTGAGCCTTTGAAAAATTTAAGAACATTATTAAGTAATGATCGTAGGTAGTTTTCAGAAGAAGAATGAAAACTTGGGTATATAAAAATCACTTTTCTCAGAAATCTATTCACTTATTTTTTTAAAAAAACTTTCCTGAAATAGAGGACATTTTAGAAAATATAAAAAACAGAGACGAGTGTAAACTTCTCTGCTACTGACACTACTGTAAAATAGCTTGATTCACCAAGCTGGCCGAGATCAGATAACATGCTTATGTTTCTTACTTTAAAAAGGTTTATGATAAGACTAGCCCAATGGCATTTGAAAATATAATTTTCAAATTATGAACATTTAGTTTCTACAAAATTGTTTAAGTTAGTGCTGAGAATAAAATCTTTTCTCTGTCAATCTGTCCACATTTATTCCCTCTGGGTTCAAAACCCAATAGAATTATTGGGAGAAATTGGTTTTCAAAAAGTTGTTCTTGATTCATGTTTCTCCCAACATAGTTTCTTGTCCTATTGGTTAGCACTTAGTGTTATTAATATTTTTGTTTCATTTTTGTTGGAAAATGGTTTTAATTTAAGAGGTTGAATTTTTGCAGTAGGGTTTTTTTTTTCCTTTGTAGTTCATTGCCTCTTTATGCCCTTGGCCATCATGTTAGGATCTTAGCGTTTTTATTACCAACTGATGAAAACTTGAGTTATATTTAGGATGGTAAAGCCATAGTATATTGTTTTATGATCTCTCTGGTACACAAAAAATTTAATTTGTGTTGAACAAAATCTATTCACCTTTTCCTTCTCGAGTTCTCTCCTGTAAGTAGTTGTTGGAAGCTTTGCATTTTGATATTAAAACACATAACAACACATCAAACATTTTCCACAGTGCTCTCTACTAAGTAAAAAGCTCTTATGAAATTGACATGGCATTTACCAGGTTGGAGTTCCTGGTCTATAATTTTAAATGGTATCTGAAGGATTATACTGGAATTCTGCCAGCCTGAAGTCATTAAAAGGCTTTGAGCAACAATTCAGCATCTTTTTCAAATTTAAGAAAAGCCCCATATGGCATAATTATTCAAAGCTAAGGTCACAGAAACTACTTAAACCTTTGAAATTTATAATTAAAGGATTAATATTAACTTATAAAGACATTGTCATTTTGGCTTAAAATGGATTTCTAATCGCAGTCTGTCCTTTTTTACTTTGATCTTTCCCCTGACTTTTTCCCTTTTCTAGAAATGTTAAGTTTTAAAATTTGAAAGTAAATAGTATGCTCACACAGTTTAGATTTATAACATTTGATTGACAAGCAACATCCAGTATCATTTTTATTCCACTCCACGATTGGTGATGGATTGAAAGTTGGCATGTTCTTCTGGCTACAGCTTGATGTATCGGTTGGGATATAATGACCTCTCTGAACATCACAGGAAATTTACCCAAATTATAGCAACTTAGGAAACTCAAGGTGTGGACATAAATAGAATATGATGACCTGGTGTTCATTTCCATTCCAATTTAAGATTTTGAAGAGTCTCAGTTGTTAACCTTCTCTGATGAGCCAGAAAGGCTTGACCCTGACTTAAAAGCAAAGAGCTTGTTATTTTGAAAACAAGTCAACTACTTTATTTAAATCAGTTTATGCCTCGGTCTCTTCGTCTGTTCCTCAGACTCTTTCTTTTTACATCAGTCTGTAGTTCTCACCTGCTTTTTCAGCTTTTTGTGTTTGGCATCATCTGCTACACAGTGAGTCTTCTAAACACGTACGGGAATGATGTGTCTGTCGGCTGTTGGTTTCTTAAACAAGGAGAGTGGAGTCTTGTAATCATTCCTGTCTATCTGCAGTGTCAAAGGCTTCCTCGTTTCTGAGAGGGGCTGCGAAGCCCAAACTCACGTGGAGTCCTGCATATGGATCACTGAAGGTCTCATTACATACATGTGATTGTCCAAACAGCACAAAGCTGGGACTCGTGAACAGGAATGACGGAGCTGTGCATTTATTTGTGTGTGACCAGATACTCTCCCAGATAGCAACTAAGTTTTAAAAAATGGTGCATGGCCGAGTGCTCAGTATGTGTATATTTTTTTAATGTTTGTGTATATATAGTGGGTATTTCGGGAAGGGAACCGAAGAATCTAGTTACAATAGTAGGAATACCCCCAGTAAAGCTGCAAATCTTGTGGCGACAGGGATGAAATGAAGAATGGCATTACTTATTTGTAAAATCTCAAGACACTTGTATAGCATCCCGCTAATGTAGACACGGGGAGGCCTGGTGGCCTATAGGGTTTGTGTTGGGCTGCTAATCACAGGTCATCAGTTCCAA